TTTGTTGGACATTGGTGACGAGCTCAAAGAGCGATTCGAGATGTTGTTTTTGGGCAATGGCTTCTTGTCGTACCTTCTTATCCAGGATTTGTCCACTCCCTTGGACTTGTTCCTGGAGGTTTTGTAGTTGCTGCCAAACGGCCTGTCCAGCTGAGCCAAGATACCTCATTTGCGCCTCATGGGTATCCAGAAACTCCTGCATGTTCCTCACGAACTGATCTTGAACAGAGCGTTTTTTCGATTGCCTAGTTTGTGTGGAGGGTCCGCCCGTAAGTAGGGGGTCTGGGCTAACAGCACTTGATATTACCATAGAATCTTCCCCTCCGGCCTCCTCAGTTGCGGCCGAGGTATCTATGAAATAATTATCCCTTCGGGTAGTCATTGTGATAGGGGATAATGATGATAGTTTTTCTTTTTGAGGTGACTTCGTTACTCCAAGTGAACTTGTGAGTAACAATATACTGTGAGGGATGCGTACCAGACCACAAGAGTACACTACGCAGAGCTCAGAGTTCGGCTAACAGCTACAAAGGTAGAAGTCTCCAAGGTCTCTTCAGTCAACATCGGGTATGATTCTCCTTGATCCGATACGGGCCCCGCGAGCTACGTTATCAACAAAGATTCACTAGAGTTAGCGTATGATGTTCGACCGTCTTCGACGTAATAGTTCAGGTAGACTTCGAAGTCACGATAGAGTAAAGTAATTCCAAAAGTATAGTCAAATAAAGTTGTAACTCGCGTATCAACGATTTATATTGTTAAGACTCTGATTTCGCCGATGATGGTTTGGCTAGTCAGTGAATGACACAGTATTTATATCCCTCGCTTATGTCTCGAGGACCCAGTCTACTAATAATACAGAATACACTCAGGGCATGCCCGAGACCCTGAAAAACAACCAAGAACATTTAACTCCTAAGTCCATAACCCAAACTCCTAAATCCGCTAGAACCCCTCAACCTATTTATCCACTCTAATGCACGTTTCCCTGTCGATATTTCTTCTCCATCGGCCGTCTGGTGGATAATTGTCAGCGTCGGCTATTCGGAGGTCTCGGACGGCAAGGCTACCTACTCAGGCCTCTTCCCACATCGCTTTCCCACATAGCAGAGTCCTCTCATGCCCACAGGTACCGCCGATAGGTACTCGGTCGGCTGGCAGCTTGCGCCGATTCGCTCCGAGCGGTCCGATCTTCGATTCGATTGATTCCAGCTGTCCCTCATATATCCACCGATACCAAAACACACCCCTCCGGCGGTTTGACGCTCCGGGGGTTGTTATTGGGGTCGAAAACGTATTTTTTAACTAGGAAAACCGCAACTCCGCATTTAGTCGCATATCGATCGCACCACACCTCGTGGGTGCGAACCGGAGTTGATAGTGGTGTTGCCATTAGTATCAAAGAGTATTGGGGTATCTACTAGCCTTTCTCTCACTCCCGTAAATGCTTGGCATGCCCGTAACAAACACATTATGGATTTTGATTTGTGGCGGCAGTTCCAATTCGCAGGCTCGTTTCCCGGCTAGTCGCATGATCTGGAACGGACCGAGTTTCTTATGATCGAGCTTTTTGGTGGAGCGAAGTGTTTTGATATTGGCCGCATGGAGCATGACCATGTCGCCTATCTTAAAGTTCGGCGGTTCGTCCCTTTTCCGATCATAGTATTTCCCCATCTTCTCCCTGGTGTCTGTTAAGCGAGCGAGAGCAGAATCGTGAACTCTTCGGATGAAGTGAGTGTACAGGTCACTGGTTGGGTTGACCACTTCGGCTTCCGTCGGCCAGTTGGTTCTTGGGTTGTAACCGTAATTGGTATAGAACGGAGATTGACCCGTTGCGGTGGTAACCGAGTTGTTGTAAGCATACTCCGCCAACGGGAGTAGCTTTGCCCAATCATCTTGCTCGTAATTACAGAACGCTCGTAAATAGTGCTCAAGGGTTTGGTTGACCCGCTCTGTTTGCCCATCGGTCTGAGGGTGGAAAGCCGTACTCATTCTTATCCTCACGTCCAATAATTCCATCAGGGATGCCCAAAAGCTTGACATAAATTTAGCGTCCCTGTTGGAAACTATATCAAGTGGCAGCCCGTGGAGTCGCCAGATTTGACCGAGGAATATCTTCGCTAAATCCTGCGCGGTCGTTTCTGCTACTAGGGGGATGAAGTGCGACATCTTTGAGAACCTATCGACTACTACCCAAATTTGATTGTATCCCTTTGATTCCGGTAACTGCACAATGAAGTCCATAGATATCGATTGCCAGACAGAATGTGGCGTGGACAGTGGTAGAAGCGCACCGTATTTCTTATCGCGGCTGGGTTTGTTGCGCTGGCACTCGTCACATGACCGAACATAATCATCAATCTACTCGTTCATTTTTGGCCAATAACAGTTACGCGTAATGAGTTCCTGTAACGGAGCTATTTCAACTGTCTGGTGTATGAGTACATACAGGGCCCGGTTACATGCTGAGAGTTATTGTTAGAAGCCAGTTGCACGGTGATATGCAAGTACCGGCAGTGTGGTTACCTACCAGCTGTTAGAGTAACTACATTCCGGGCGCTAGGAAGGGGATCTATTCATGGGAGCAATGACTGACGAGTCTATGCCTCGCCAGTTTCTAGAAGACCGGCCAGAGTGAAGCTCTGATTGTCCGGTGATCCACTGTATCCTCTGAGCATTGTAAGTCCGCCGAAGGGCAGGGACTATGCTAGGGAAGTCTGCAATAAGCGAAAAAGCTCTACAGCAATGATTAAGCTTACACTTGAGCGGCAGCTCATTTGTGCAGGTCCTCGGTTGTGTGGCAACCAAGGCTGCAGGTGTTACAAAGGCTTTGACTAAGGGTGGTTGCCTTGGGTATCGGAAACACCTGCTGACGCTTAGAGAAAAGCGGGGTAGCGGTGGTATTGTTTCCGGCACCGAGGAAAGGGCCACCGGAACTTAGTAAAGGAGTTAGGAGCAGAGAACAGAGGCCTTCGGAGTATAAGTACTCAGGTTCATTCTCGCCCTTCAGTCCTGTTCTCTCCAGTCTTCATCAGAAAGAAAAAACCAAGTTTTTATCGGTAGCAGAGCCCTTAAAGATTATTGAGTTCTAGCGATAGTATCTTTGAATAATCTGCAACCTGATTGTCTATCTTGCACGGCCATCTCTATTCTATCCGATTCTATTTCTCTTAGAAAGGACCCCCGTTACAGTTCCAACGTCGTGTCTTGTCCAAAGTGTCCTGCCACTTTTGAATCGTGTTCTGCCTGTGCTATCCGAATCTTGATATGGTCGTCTGCCGGAATATAGAGTCGGTTCTTATAGAAGAGTAGCCCGTCTTTCTCAGCAATGTCTTTTAGGTCCCCCAGCTTCTCCCCTTGCTCAACTCTCTCTTTCAATCCTACCCATGTCGGGTCTCCAGATGCCGCCTGCCTGACATAATCCAGAAAGTTCTTAGACCAGTCGGTCGCCCCCTTGGAGGCAGGCGACACAGCTGGTACCACAAACTCTTCCTCCGCCAACTGTCCGGGCTTAAAGAACCTGTCTATCGGCTGTTTCCCAAGCGTGCCTCCCCCTTCAGGACGGTACTCCGGCCGTCGCGATAGTGCATCTGCCTTCCCATTTTTGGTTCCCGGGCAGTAAATAATCTTGAAGTCAAATTCCGCCAAAGACTCAGCCCACCTTGCCTGTCGTCGGTTAAGAACCTTGGTTGTTGAAAAATATTCCAAGTTCTTGTGATCCGTATAGACGAGGACCGTTCGGCTAGATCCTTCGAGGTAGTGACGCCATTGCTTGAAGGCTGACACAATTCCTAGCATCTCCTTATCCCAGACGTCGTAATTGAGTTCCGCTGGGTTAAGCTTTCGAGAATAAAAGGCAACATGGTGAGTCTTTCCGTCAATAACCTGGGATAGAATTGCGGCGATAGCAAAATCACTTGCGTCCGTTTCCACGATAGTCTGGCGATCTGGAGAGAAATTGTTACGGGCATGCCAAGCATTTACGGGAGTGAGAGAAAGGCTAGTAGATACCCCAATACCCTTTGATACTAATGGCAACACCACTATCAACTCCGGTTCGTACCCACGAGGTACGGTGCGATTAATATACGACCAAATGCGGAGTTGCGGTTTTCCTAGTTAAAAAACACGTTTTCGACCCCAATAATAACCCCCGGAACGTCAAACCGCCGGAGGGGAGTGTTTTGGTACCGGTGGATATATGAGGGACAGCTGGAATCAATCGGATCGAAGATCAGACCGCTCGGAGCGAATCGGCGCAAGCTGCCAGCCGACCGAGTACCTATCGGCGGTACCTGTGGGCATGAGAGGACTCTGCTATGTGGGAAAGCGATGTGGGAAGAGGCCTGAGTAGGTAGCCTTGCCGTCCGAGACCCCCGAATAGCCGACGCTGACGATCATCCACCAGATAGCCAATGGAGAAGAAACATCGACAGGGAAACGTGCATTAGAGTGGATAAATAGGTTGAGGGGTTTCAGCGGATTAAGGAGTTTGGGTTATGGACTTAGGAGTTAAATGTTCTTGGTTGTTTTTCAGGGTCTCGGGCATGCCCCGAGTGTATTCTGTATTATTAGTAGACTGGGTCCTCGAGACATAAGCGAGGGATATAAATACTGTGTCATTCACTGACTAGCCAAACCATCATCGGCGAAATCAGAGTCTTAACAATATAAATCGTTGATACGCGAGTTACAACTTTAATTGACTATACTTTTGGAATTACTTTACTCTATCGTGACTTCGAACTCTACCTGAACTATTACGTCGAAGACGGTCGAACACTATCCGCTAACTCTAGTGAATCTTTGTTGATAACGTAGCTCGCGGGGCCCGTATCGGATCAAGGAGAATCATACTCGACGTTGACTGAAGAGACCTTGGAGACTTCTACCTTTGTAGCTGTTAGCCGAACTCTGAGCTCTGCGTAGTGTACTCTTGTGGTCTGGTACGCATCCCTCACACCTCGGCCGTAACTGAGGAGGCCGGAGGGGAAGATTCTATGGTGATATCAAGGGCTGCTAGCTCAGACCCCCTACTTACGGGAGGACCCTCCACACAAACTAGGCAATCGAGTAAACGCTCTGCTCAAGCCCAGTTCGTGAGGAATATTCAGGAGTTTTTGGATACCCATGAAGCACAAATGAGGTATCTTGGTTCAGCTGGACACGCCATTTGGCAGCAGCTACATAACCTCCAGGAACAAGTGCAGGGGAGTGGGCAGATCCTGGATAAGAAAGTACGGCAAGAAGCCATCGCCCAGAAGAAACATCTCGAATCGCTCTTTGAGCTCGTCGAAAATGTTCGACAAGTACAGGAAGCCGCACGAGCCGCCGACCACGAGGTTCTGGATCGTAACCATCGGATTACCCAGAACCAACTGTTGGAGGCAGAACGACAGCTGAGAGTTGCAAGAGAAGAGCGGGAGCAGGAGAAAAGGGAACAGCGGGAACTGTTGGCGCAATTCAAGCAGTCCGATGATGTAAGAAACCAACGAATAGCCGAGATGGAGGAACGACTACGACAACATATGTCGGTAGCACCTGTAAAAATATGGCATTGCGACATCGGTTATGTATGGTAATTACTCATGTATAAGGGATGACTCATAGTTGGAACAAGGAGGCTTAGCGCTAGGATTATGTAATCAGGGGATCACGTGGTACTAAGAACTATCTGTATATAAGGAGCAACAAACTCCCATAGTTGTTGCTGGAACTTAGCGGCGCAATAGTATCTTCTTTGCACTATAAACATATTCCTCACAAAGGTCACATGTTCAAACCCTCCACAAGTCGTCTATTCTCCCACACTCCAAATCACAGGTTATGAGCCCGGGTTCTGCCAAATAGAATCCGCACTACACCATCGCCACCTCGCTTAACTCAACAACACTTCATACAACATCATGCCTTCAGAAGGAGAATCGTCATCCAAGGCTGCTGAGATCAAACCCTCAGAGACAACAGCAAAACCGAGATAAAGAAGGCTCGTAAACAAATGCACAGCCTTCTCATCTCTGCTGTATGCGAAGAAATACAACCAACAGTCGTCTCCGCCGAAAATGCATTCTACGCATGGAAGGCGTTCAAAGACCTCTATGATAGTGTCTCACCCAACACCACGATCACCCTCCTCAGCCGCGTCCTAGACACGAAGATGCAAGAAGGCGGATCACTGACCGAGCATCTCACAACCTTCGATGCGAACTGGAATACTCTCAAGTCCAGATGCCAAAGCGCAGACCACAAACTCGCTCAGGCTCTCCTACCCCTCACCAAATCCAACGAAGCAATGGCGGCATTTCTGCTAAGCTCGCTACCCAAATCGATGAGCAACGTTGTAGACAACATCCAGACCAAACAGGATGTCACCTACGAAGACGTACGCCAACGACTACAGAACCTGGATGAGGTAGCCCCTCAAACAGGAAACAAAGTGCTCCATACCAGGAGTACCACAAGCGACAAGGAATGCACCTGGTGCAAGAAAAGGGGACAGCCTTACAAAGGCCACGAGTACACGGAGTGCAGAAAGCTCAAAGAACAGAACAAGAACAGAAAGGGAAGGAGAAAGGACAACTCGGCATCGGTTGTAGTAAATGACTCTACAACCACTAGCTGTATGGTACGCCACGACATCTCCCAACCCCTTACTTGGATCCTTGATTCTGGAGCGACCTCTCACGTCACACCTTTCCAAGACCAACTCATCGACATCCGATTCACACCGGCAATGTCCGAACAGCTGATGGAACCAACCACGCTGTCACCGGAATGGGAAGCGCTAGTTTCAGCTGCCACCTTCCCGATGGAAGCAGATCTTCCATACTCCTCACCGATGTGCTGTTGGTCCCAACCTTGGGTAATGTGGGATTGGTCTCCGAAACCGTGCTCGACAAAAAGGGATTTAGAACGGAGTCAGGAGGAGGAAACAAGTTGGTTACAAAAGAAAAGAAAGGAATAATTTGGGCAAAATTGGAGAAGGGACTTTGGAATGTACAAGTAGTTAGCAATACAGTTCGTTTGACCACTTACGATGAATGGCGTCAAGCGTTAGGCCACCCTGTGACACTAGAAAACTTGTATCACGACATTCAAAGGCTGCCTCCCAAACCAGAAAGATTCCACTGTAGTCAATGTGCACTATCAAAAAGCATACACTAGAAACCTGCACCAATTAGTACTAGATCCAAACGACCATTCGAACTAATCCACTCAGATCTATCTGGAAAGTTCAGCATACAGTCACAAGGAAAAGCTCAGTACTATATGTCCTTCATCGATGATTACACCCGCTTCGCATGGATATACTTCCTGAAACAGAAAGAAGACGCAAATAAGGGCATCAAGGATTACGTTACAAGAATCGAGAAACAGTATAGCACAACAATACTGAGATTCAGAACGGATGGTGGTGGTGAATACATCAACAAGGACATAACGAACTACTTCGATTCACAAGGAATAGTTCATGAACAGACTCCCCCATACACTCCTGAATCTAATGGAGTTGCAGAACGATTCAACAGGACGGTAACCACAATGGTCAGGTGCATGATCATGGACCACCCTAAGTCGTTATGGAGAGAAGCATACGCAACAGCTGTCTACCTCAAAAATAGGCTACCACACAGTACGCTTAAGGGAAAGACCCCCTTTGAAGCCCTGAAAGGAACCAAGCCAAGTATACAATACCTTCAACCATTCGGTAAAAAATGCTATGTCCACATCCCAGAAAACTCTAGGCCAGCAGGAAGCAAACTAGCACCCCGAGCATATGAAGGAATCATAGTTGGATACTCAGACAGTAGTAAAATATACCGTATCTGGATAGGAACACAACATAGGGTAATTGAAAGTCGGGACATCACATTCCCCCCTCCTGAATCAGGGGAAGTCTCAGTGGAACTCGACTTCATCCCCAGCCTGAAACCAGAAACGGCAAATGCACTATCAGACGACGGATACGAATCAGAAGACAGGTCTGATCCAGAATCCGAGTCAAATGCAATCGAAGAGAACCGTACAGAAATGCCAGGATTATTCCCGGAATCACCGGAGCAGGTTAGACAACCACTACCGGCTACACCACACAAGGGAAAAGAACCTGCCATACCTATGGGACAACCGCGAGACCCAAGAGATAACTGGGAGAAAATTCCAGCACCAGTTGTACCATTCAAAGGCTTCAAAATAAAACCTCTTGCGTCAACGACACCCAAAGGTACACCACCACAACCTCCAAAACGATCAGATCGAATATGCCAGCGAAAAAATAGAGCAATTGAAATGGAAGTAGGAAGGAAAGAGTATAACGAAAAGGTAGTAGAACAACAGAAGTTACTTTCGAGTTATATCGAAGATGTGAAAGAAAATGGCCCAGGAGACAAAGCCACTGAACAAGAATTAATCGATCAATACAAAGAAGACTTCAGACGTCATAGGGCTGAGTTAGATACGGAATATCGAGACATATCCGAACTCCCCCCGAACTACCAAATACACCTCGTAACAGCACCTTCCACCTTCAATCAAGCTATGCAGAGCGACGATCAACACCTATGGAAAAAGGCGATACAGACTGAGAAAGACGCCCTTAACAAAGCCCACACCTGGGATATTGTCAACAGACCATCCAACCGAGCAGTAGTCAAAGGAAAATGGGTATTTAAAGTGAAACACAACGCGGACGGAACAATCGAGCGGTACAAAGCAAGGTACGTTGCTAAAGGCTTCACCCAAGTACAGTACCAAGACTACGATGAGACCTTCGCCCCCGTTGCACGATATGATTCTCTACGACTCCTACTGGCACTAGCTGTACACAACGGTTGGATACCACAACAAATGGACGTCAAGTCAGCCTTCCTGTATGGTGTACTCAAGGAGGAAATCTACATGGAACTGCCTGAAGGCTACAGGCAGGACAACAAGGTTTGTAAACTTCGAAAATGCATATACGGACTAAAGCAATCACCCCGTGAATGGTATGCTTGCCTAGCAGACTCCCTTCAACGGAAAGAATTCGTCCCAGCCAAATTCGACGCATGTGTCTTCATACATAAGAACCACCATCTATATATATCGGTGTATGTAGATGACATCATGATATTCGGACCCGACTCCCCATTCAGAAAAGAAATCAGACAACTACTCAAGGCAGATTTCGAATGTACGGATCTCGGTAACTCGAAGTTCATACTGGGAATAGAAATAACGGTAACCAACAACGGTATCACACTATCACAACGCGCATACATCAACAAGATCCTGGATAGATTTGGAATGAGTAACTGCAAACCAGTTGGCACACCACTCGAACCGAACCTCAACCTTAACAAAGGCGAACCGGAAGACCAAATCGAGAAACCAACTGAGTACCAATCCATAATAGGATCACTGATGTACGCAAGTATAGCTACCAGACCTGATATCACCCATGCCGTTACCGCTCTCTCCCAGTACTCCTCATGTCCAACCGAGGATCACCTACGAGCAGCCAAGCGAACTCTCCGATACCTCAACGGAACCAAAGACTGGAACCTGTTCTACCCGAAGGGGAATACTAGAACACTCGACGGATTCTCAGACAGTTCCTACGCTTCAGATCTAGATGACAGAAAATCGTTCTCAGGATACGTGTTCAGACTAGGGAAGTCGGCCATTAGCTGGAGAAGCCGGAAGCAGAAATCAGTCGCAGTCTCAACAACAGAAGCCGAATACATGGCCCTGTCCCTCGCAGCTCGACAACTGGTATGGATTCGTAATGCCTTGCACGAACTCCAACAATAATACCAGTACTTCATACACGCCGACAACACAGGTTCTATTGAACTCTGTCGGAACCCACGTATCCACGACCGGTCCAAGCACATCGACGTTCACTACCACTACACACGTGAACAACTCGAGGCCGGAACCTTTGAAATCCTCTACGTCCCTACCGAAGACAATGTCGCGGACATAATGACTAAAGGACTACCAAACCCAGCTCACCAAAAATTGTCAGAATTGATACGATGTGGCAAGTGAGGGGAAGTGTAAAAATATGGCATTGCGACATCGGTTATGTATGGTAATTACTCATGTATAAGGGATGACTCATAGTTGGAACAAGGAGGCTTAGCGCTAGGATTATGTAATCAGGGGATCACGTGGTACTAAGAACTATCTGTATATAAGGAGCAACAAACTCCCATAGTTGTCGCTGGAACTTAGCGGCGCAATAGTATCTTCTTTGCACTATAAACATATTCCTCACAAAGGTCATGTGTTCAAACCCTCCACAAGTCGTCTATTCTCCCACACTCCAAATCACAGCACCCTCCATGGTGAGTATTCCCTTGGACCCTAATGCACCCCAAACGGTTCCTGTTGGCAATGGCAAGAACCCCGAAAATGCTGGCCCAGTAGGAGGAAACGCTGGCCCAGTGGGAGGAAACGCTGGTCCCGTAGGAGGAAATGGAGGCAGGCAACCGGAGGATGCCGGCCCAGTGCAGGGGAATAGTGGCAGGAGACCGGTGGGAGCTGCCCCCGTCGGCGGGAATGGTGGAAATCAACCTCCCCAGAACCCACCAAGAGGAAACGTTGGGGGAGACCCAGAACCTTCCGACGATGATGACGACGATAATAGCGAATGGTCGCATGGTCGGAAGAATTGGAGAACGAATCGGGGCAGGAACCGGAATTCGGCGCCGCCTGAAGATGAGGATATGGTAGATTCGCTCGCCAAAATACCCTTCGAGTTCGATAATGCCCGGAAGCGTAACCTGCAGCATTGGCTCATGGAGTGCGAGATCTACTTCGAGCAGAAGCCCAAGAAGTTCCGAACAGATAGGAACAAGGTACTGTTCGCTGGGACGTATACGTGTGGATTGGCAAAGGAATGGTTTATGGAATATATCGAGACCAAGATGCTAGGACCGGCAGCCGCGGACTACGCTACTTGGACGCGGTTCCGTCAGGAGATCAGGAAAAGGTTCTTAAGCACTCAGGAGGCTATGGAGAACGCGATGAAGATGCAGCAGTTTAAGTACTCTGCTAACATCGGAGACTACCTGACGAGGATGGAGATTATGAACCAGCATGCCCAGATGAAAGGGGCATCCTACCGCGCCGCCTTGCTCCAAGGACTGCCAAATGAGATCCGGGAGCGCCATTCACGCTTCGACCCAACCGAGGACGACTCCGAGTACATCCAACAGTTGGAACGAGCCGGCAAGGCTCACGAGGCTTATCAAGAGCAAATGAAGATGTTGGGGAAAGCGGAGTCGAGAGGAAGCGAGTCGAACAATGGTGGGAACTCGCGGCAGAAGGAAAAGGGGTTTAGGATCAAGGGGAGGGCTCAGACTGAGGAGAAAGAAAAAGAGCAAGATAAGAAGAGCACCAGCAAGAACAAGTCGGGAAATAAGCCAATATACCACGAGTATGATGAAGCCACCAAAGGAGTTCCACAGCCGGTCCGAGACCAGCGAAAGATCGATGGCGTCTGTGTGCGATGTGGCCGAAAGGGTCATCTTTGGAAATAGTGTCGTTCAGATGCTAATAGTAGTGCATCAATCTCCTCTTTCTCCCGAAAGCGTACCCGCGATGACGATGGCGACCACGATATGGAACCACCGGAACTCCAACCTCAGAGAAAGCGCATGAGGCACCGTGCTAGGAAGCCGGCTGCTACGGCTGCGGCAGAATACACTGGTGGGCAAGCGTTTGTACGAGAACGCGGATCGGAATCTGAGATGGATTTCGACGAGGATTTTTAAAAGGGGACTCTGATGAGTCAGGTCAGGAGTATCTCCAGATTGCTATGTTATCACTGACGGAAAACAACAAAAAAAATATGAAAAGAAAAAGGCAGGAAGGGGGAGCGTCCCAACCGGAGAAAAAACAGAAAATTTTGGAGGAACCTATTCATGGTCCTCGACCTATCGTTAATCAGCTCCTTTGTTTTGCGAAAAAATGTTTACCTTGTAAGGTGTTGTTGGATACTGGTGCAACTGGTCCTGTTTTGTCTGCTGTTTTTGTTGATAGTTTTGAGGTCCCGAAGGTGAAACGAGACGTCCCGGGCCGGGTATTTGGATTTACGGGAGAAGTTATGAAGGGCACAGGACACGCCTTTACACAACCATTAATTATAATGTCAAGGGGGCATCAAACACAACTATCATTCGAGATCGCCCCTCTCCCATCTGGCATCGATGCGATACTACCGAACTGGTGGTTGAAAGAACACAAACCAGTTATAGGAGCAAATGGGGAAGTTTCCTACGATGGCGATAACTGTAAGAGTCGATGCTTCACTGACAAGGAACCTCAAATAGAAATGGACGAGGGTGTACTGGATGATCCGGAGGCCCAATTCATCGGTAGCATTTGTCTCTTGGAAGATGAATCGGTCAACCTCCGCGAAACTCTTCCCTCTTGGCTCCATGGGTTCCTTAAAGTCTTCCTACCATCGGAAGCAGACAAACTGTGAGGGATGCGTACCAGACCACAAGAGTACACTACGCAGAGCTCAGAGTTCGGCTAACAGCTACAAAGGTAGAAGTCTCCAAGGTCTCTTCAGTCAACGTCGAGTATGATTCTCCTTGATCCGATACGGGCCCCGCGAGCTACGTTATCAACAAAGATTCACTAGAGTTAGCGTATAGAATTCGACCGTCTTCGACGTAATAGTTCAGGTAGAGTTCGAAGTCACGATAGAGTAAAGTATTTTCAAAAGTATAGTCAAATAAAGTTGTAACTCGCGTATCAACGATTTATATTGTTAAGACTCTGATTTCGCCGATGATAGTTTGGCTAGTCAGTGAATGACACAGTATTTATATCCCTCGCTTATGTCTCGAGGACCCAGTCTACTAATAATACAGAATACACTCGGGGCATGCCCGAGACCCTGAAAAACAACCAAGAACATTTAACTCCTAAGTCCGTAACCCAAACTCCTAAATCCGCTGAAACCCCTCAACCTATTTATCCACTCTAATGCACGTTTCCCTATCGATGTTTCTTCTCCATCGGCCGTCTGGTGGATAATCGTCAGCGTCGGCTATTCGGAGGTCTCGGACGGCAAAGCTACCTACTCAGGCCTCTTCCCACATCGCTTTCCCACATAGCAGAGTCCTCTCATGCCCACAGGTACCGCCGATAGGTACTCGGTCGGCTGGCAGCTTGCGCCGATTCGCTCCGAGCGGTACGATCTTCGATCCGATCGATTTCAGCTGTCCCTCATATATCCACCGGTACCAAAACACTCCCCTCCGGCGGTTTGACGCTCCGGGGGTTATTATTGGGGTCGAAAACGTGTTTTTTATGACTCTGGGTTTTTTGGTCGTAATTTGGTCGCACCACACTCCGCGAGTGTGGTCAAGAGTTGATATTAGCGTACAGAGGGTATTGGGGTATCTACTAGCCTTTCTCTCACTCCCGTAAATACTTGGCATGCCCGTAACAGCTTACCCCCCTTCCAGGGTGTCACGTCTCGGGACATCTTCTGACAGACTATGGTTCCAGTAAACCTGCTCCACATATCACCCGCGGTGTCTGTGGAGGGGAAGGACTTAGCCCCGTAGGGTACCTCTATAGTCTCAGGCGTTGGTCCTTCACGGCCTTGGGGTTCCTTCGATGGAAGTCGCGGACAAGGTCAAGTACTTCCTCATCCATAGCGTCCATGACTTGATACGTACAGTCACTCATCGAATAGCCCCGCCATTTCACCAGGTATTCCACTAATCCTCTTCTGCTTTTCCGGCTCCCCACGATACTTTCCACTTCGTACAGCACCTCTCCTTCCTTATCGACCTCTTCGGGAGTTGGGGGACGTTGTTCTCGGCCTGGGATACTGCTCTGTCGATACCGTTCCAAGAGTTCAATATGGAACACATTATGGATTTTGACTTGTGGCGGCAGTTCCAGTTCGCAGGCTCGTTTTCCGGCTAGTCGGATGATTTTGAAGGGGCCGAGTTTCTTGTGATCGAGTTTCTTGGTGGAGCGACGTGTCTTAATATTGGTCGCATTGAGCATAACCATGTCTCCCACCTTGAAGTTAGGCGGTTCGTCCCTTTTTCGATCATAGTATTTCCCCATCTTCTCCCTGGTGTCTGTTAAGCGAGCGAGAGCAGAATCATGAACCCCTCGGATGAAGTGAGCGTACAGGTCACTAGTTGGGTTGACCACTTCGGCTTCTGTTGGCCAGTTGGTTCTTGGGTTATAACCGTAATTGGTATAAAACGGAGATTGACCCGTGGCGGTGGTAACCGAGTTGTTGTAAGCATACTCCGCCAACGGGATTAGCTCTGCCCAATCATCTTGCTCGTAGTTGCAGAACGCTCGTAAGTAATGCTCGAGGGTTTGGTTGACTCGCTCTGTTTGCCCATCGGTCTGAGGGTGGAAAGCCGTACTCATTCTTATCCTCACGTCCAATAATTCCATAAGGGATGCCCAAAAGCTTGAAGTAAACTTGGCGTCCCTGTCGGAAACTATATCAAGAGGCAGCCCATGGAGTCGCCAGATTTGACCGAGGAATATCTTCGCTAAATCCTGCGCGGTCGTTTCTGCTACTAGGGGAATGAAGTGCGATATCTTCGAGAACCTATCGACTACTACCCAAATTTGGTTGTATCCCTTCGATTCCGGTAACTGCACGACGAAGTCCATTGATATCGATTGCCAGACAGAATGTGGTGTGGACAATGGTAGAAGCGCACCGTACTTCTTATGGCGGCTGGGTTTGTTGCGCTGGCACTCGTCACATGACCGAACGTAATCATCAATCCACTCGTTCATTTTTGGCCAGTAGAAGTTACGCGTGATGAGTTCCAGTGTCTTGTCTTGTCCAAAGTGTCCTGCCACTTTCGAATCGTGTTCTGCCTGTGCGATTCGGATCTTGATACGGTCGTCTGCCGGAATGTAGAGTCGATTCTTATAGAAGAGTAGCCCGTCTTTCTCAGCGATATCCTTCATTTCCCCCAGCTTCTCTCCCTGCTCAACTCTCTCTTTCAATCCTACCCATGTCGGGTCTCCCGATGCCGCCTGCCTGACGTGATCCAGGAAATTCTTAGACCAGTCAATCACCCCCTTGGAGGCAAGCGACACCGCTGATACCACAAACTCTTCCTCCGCCAACTGTCCGGGCTTAAAGAACCTGTCTATCGGCTGTTTCCCAAGCGTGCCTCCCCCTTCAGGACGGTACTCCGGCCGTCGCGATAGTGCATCTGCCTTCCCATTTTTGGTTCCCGGGCGGTAAATAATCTTGAAGTCAAATTCCGCCAAAGACTCAGCCCACCTTGCCTGTCGTCGGTTAAGAACCTTGGTTGTTGAAAAATATTCCAAGTTCTTGTGATCCGTATATACGAGAACCGTTCGGCTAGGTCCTTCGAGGTAGTGACGCCATTGCTTGAAGGCTGACACAATTCCCAACATCTCCTTATCCCAGACGTCGTAGTTGAGTTCCGCTGGGTTAAGTTTTCGGGAATAGAAGGCAACAGGGTGAGTCTTTCCGTCAATAACCTGGGATAAAATTGCGGCGATAGCAAAATCACTTGCGTCCGTTTCCACGATAGTCTGGCGATCTGGAGAGAAGTGTACCAAGATCGGCGCAGACGTAAACAGGGTTTTGAGTTTTTCGAAGGCTGCTTGGGCCGTCATAGACCAGACAAAGTTCTTAGCATCACCCCTGAGACAATCGGTAATGGGTTTACAGACCCCGGAGAAATTGTGGATAAACCTTCTGTAGAAGTTGGCAAAGCCCATGAAGATCTGTACTTCCTTAACGCTACGCGGGGCTTGCCAATTCGTAACAGACATAACCTTATCCAGTGCCATGGTGACGCCTGCTGGGGCAAGGATGTATCCGAGGAACTCGATTTCGGTGAGCTCGAAGAACGATTTCTTCGGGTTGGCGACCAGGTTGTATTCTTGTAGCCTGCTAAGTACTTTGCCGACCAGCTCCCTGTGTTCCTCTCGGGACTTGCTATATATTAGAATGTCATCAAGGTATACTACTACCCCTTGATCCAGGAATTCCCTCAGCGCATCATTCATCATATTCTGGAAGGTCGCCGGCGCATTTGCCAGCCCAAAAGGCATAACGAGGTACTCAAAATGCCCGTACCGCGTACGAAAGGCTGTCTTCCACTCGTCGCCGTCTTTGATCCTGATGAGGTTATAACCTTCCTTCAGGTCAATCTTCGAGAAGATAACCGCGCCCGCCACTCGATCTCGCAGCTCGTCCATAAGTGGTAACGGATACCTGTTCTTGATGGACACACGGTTAAGTCCACGGTAGTCAAGGCAAAGTCGCAGACTACCGTCCTTCTTCTTCACAAATAGGATTGGGGCTCCTGCAGGAGATTTGCTTGGCCTAATTTTTCCCAATCGCAACATTTTGTCCAGGTATTCCCGAAGCACCTTTAGCTCGACTTCGGATAGGGAGTAAACGGGTCCCCATGATGGCTGCTTCCCTGGTTCAAGATCTATCGCATGGTCGTAGGATCGATGCGGTGGTAGTTTGTCTGCTTCCGATGGTAGGAAGACTTTAAGGAACCCATGGAGCCAAGAGGGAAGAGTTTCGCGGAGGTTGACCGATTCATCTTCCAAAAGACAAATGTTACCGATGAATTGGGCCTCCGGATCGTCCAGTACACCCTCGTCCATCTCTATTTGAGGTTCCTTGTCAGTGAAGCATCGACTCTTGCAGTTCTCGCCCTCGTAGGAAACTTCCCCATTTGCCCCTATAATCGGTTTATGTTCTTTCAACCACCAGTTTGGTAATATTGCATCGATGCCAAGTGGGAGAGGGGCAATCTCGAATGACAACTGTGTTTGGTGCCCCCTTGACATTATAATTAATGGTTGTGTAAAGGCGTGTCCCGTGCCCTTCATAACTTCTCCCGTAAATCCAAATACCCGGGCCGGGACGTCTCGTTTCACCTTCGGGACCTCAAAACTATCAACAAAGACAGCAGACAAAACAGGACCAGTTGCACCAGTATCCAACAACACCTTACAAGGTAAACATTTTTTTACAAAACAAAGGAACTGATTAACGATAGGCCGAGGACCATGAATAGGTTCCTCCAAAATTTTCTGTTTTTTCTCCGGTTGGGACGCTCTCCCTTCCTGCCTTTTTCTTTTCATATTTTTTTATTGTTTTCCGTCAGTGATAACATAGCAATCTGGGGATACTCCTGACCTGACTCATCAGAGTCCCCTTTCAAAAATCCTCGTCGAAATCCATCTCAGATTCCGATCCGCGTTCTCGCACAAACGCTTGCCCACTGGTGTACTCCGCAGCAGCCGTTGCAGCCGGCTTCTTAGCACGGTGCCTCATTCGCTTTCTCTGAGGTTGGGGTTCCGGTGGTTCCATATCGTGGTCGCCATCGTCATCGCGGGTACGCTTTCGGGAGAAAGAGGAGATAGATGCACTGCTGTTAGCATCTGAACGACACCACTTCCAAAGATGACCCTTTCGGCCACATCGCACACAGGCTCCATCGGTCTTTCGCTGTTCTCGGACCGGCTGTGGAACTCCTTTGGTGGCTTCGTCGTAGTCGTGGTATATTGGCTTATTCCCCGACTTGTTCTTGCTAGTGCTCTTCTTATCTTGCCCTTTTTCTTTCTCCTCAGTCTGAGCCCTCCCCTTGATCTTAAACCCCTTCTCCTTTTGCCGCGAGTTTCCACCATTATTCGTCTCCCTTCCTCTCGACTCCGCTTTCCCCAACATCTTCATCTGCTCTTGATAAGCCTCATGAGCCTTGCCGGCTCGTTCCAGCTGTTGGATGTACTCGGAGTCGTCATCGGTTGGATCGAAGCGTGAGTGGCGCTCCCGGATTTCATTTGGTAGCCCTTGGAGCAAGGCGGCACGATAGGATGCTCCTTTCATTTGAGCGTGCTGGTTCATGATTTCCATTCTCGTCAGGTAGTCCCCGATGTTAGCAGAGTACTTAAACTGCTGCATCTTCATCGCGTTCTCCATAGCTGTGAGGGATGCGTACCAGACCACAAGAGTACACTACGCAGAGCTCAGAGTTCGGCTAACAGCTACAAAGGTAGAAGTCTCCAAGGTCTCTTCAGTCAACGTCGAGTATGATTCTCCTTGATTCGATACGGGCCCCGCGAGCTACGTTATCAACAAAGATTCACTAGAGTTAGCGTGTGATATTCGACCGTCTTCGACGTAATAGTTCAGGTAGAGTTCGAAGTCACGATAGAATAAAGTATTTCCAAAAGTGTAGTCAAATAAGGTTGTAACTCGCGTATCAACGATTTATATTGTTAAGACTCTGATTTCGCCGATGATGGTTTGGCTAGTCAGTGAATGACACAGTATTTATATCCCTCGCTTATGTCTCGAGGACCCAGTCTACTAATAATACAGAATACACTCGGGGCATGCCCGAGACCCTGAAAAACAACCAAAAACATTTAACTCCTAAGTCCGTAACCCAAACTCCTAAATCCGCCGAAACCCCTCAACCTATTTATCCACTCTAATGCACATTTCCCTGTCGATGTTTCTTCTCCATCGGCCGTCTGGTGGATAATCGTCAGCGTCGGCTATTCGGAGGTCTCGGACGGCAAGGCTACCTACTCAGGCCTCTTCCCACATCGCTTTCCCACATAGCAGAGTCCTCTCATGCCCACAGGTACCGCCGATAGGTACTCGGTCGGCTGGCAGCTTGCGCCGATTCGCTCCGAGCGGTCCGATCTTCGATCCGATTGATTCCAGCTGTCCCTCATATATCCACCGGTACCAAAACACTCCCCTCCGGCGGTTTGACGCTCCGGGGGTTATTATTGGGGTCGAAAACGTGTTTTTTATGACTCTGGGTTTTTTGGTCGTAATTTGGTCGCACCACACTCCGCGAGTGTGGTCAAGAGTTGACATTAGCGTACAGAGGGTATTAGGGTATCTACTAGCCTTTCTCTCACTCCCGTAAATGCTTGGCATGCCCGTAACAATAGCCTCCTGAGTGCTTAAGAAACGTTTCCTAATCTCCTGACGGAACCGAGTCCAAGTAGCATAGTCCGCGGCTGCCGGTCCTAGCATCTTGGTCTCGATATACTCCATAAACCATTCCTTCGCCAACCCACACGTATATGTTCCAGCGAACAGTACTTTGTTCCTGTCCGTTCGGAACTTCTTGGGCTTCTGCTCGAAGTAGATCTCGCACTCCATGAGCCAATGCCGCAGGTTATGCTTCCTGGCATTATCGAACTCAAAGGGTATTTTGGCGAGCGAATCTACCATATCGTCGTCTTCAGGCGGCGCCGAATTCCGGTTCCCGCCTCGGTTCCTTCTCCAATTCTTCCGACCGTGCGACCATTCACTGTTATCGTCGTCATCGTCGTCGGAAGGTTCTGGGTCTCCCCCAACGTTTCCTCTTGGTGGGTTCTGGGGAGGTTGATTTCCACCATTCCCACCAACTGGAGCAGCTTCCACCGGTCCTCTGCCACTATTGCCATGCACTGGGCCGGCATCCTCCGGTTGCCTGCCTCCATTTCCTCCTACAGGACCAGCATTTCCTCCTACTGGGCCAGCATTTTCGGGTTTCTTGCCATTGTCAACAGGAACCGTTCGGGGTGCATTAGGGTCTAAGGGAGCACTAGCCACGGAAGGTGCTACTGACAGGTGTTGTCGCAGTAGTTCCTCCATCTCGGCTATCCGTTGGTTTCTTATCTCATCGGACTGCTTGAATTGTGCAAACATAGCCCGTTGTTCCCCTTTTTCCTGCTCCCGCTCTTCTCGTGCCATCCTCAGCTGTCGCTCCGCCTCCAACAGTTGGTTCTGGGTAATCCGATGGTTGCGATCCAGAACCTCGTGGTCGGCGGCTCGTGTGGTTTCTTGCATTTGTTGGACATGGGTGACGAGCTCAAAGAGCGACTCGAGATGTTGTTTTTGGGCAATGGCTTCTTGCCGTACTTTCTTATCCAGGATTTGTCCACTCCCTTGGACTTGCTCCTGGAGGTTTTGTAGCTGCTGCCAAACGGCCTGTCCAGCTGCACCAAGATACCTCATTTGTGCCTCATGTGTATCCAAAAACTCCTGCATATTCCTCACGAACTGGGCTTGAGCAGAGCGTTTACTCGATTGCCTAGTTGTTGTAGAGGGTCCTCCCGTGAGTAGGGGGTCTGGGCTAGCAGCCCTTGATATCACCATAGAATCTTTCTGGCCTCCTCAGTTACGGCCGAGGTATCTATGAAGTAATTATCCCTTCGGGTAGTCATTGTAATAGGGGATAACGATAATAGTTCTTTTCTTTGAGGTGACTTCGTTACTCCAAGTGAACTTGTGAGTAACAATATACTGTGAGGGATGCGTACCAGACCACAAGAGTACACTACGCAGAGCTCAGAGTTCGGCTAACAGCTACAAAGGTAGAAGTCTCCAAGGTCTCTTCAGTCAACATCGGGTATGATTCTCCTTGATCCGATACGGGCCCCGCGAGCTACGTTATCAACAAAGATTCACTAGAGTTAGTGTGAGGGATGCGTACCAGACCGCAAGAGTACACTACGCAGAGCTCAGAGTTCGGCTAACAGCTACAAAGGTAGAAGTCTCCAAGGTCTCTTCAGTCAACGTCGAGTATAATTCTCCTTGATCCGATACGGGCCCCGCGAGCTACGTTATCAACAAAGATTCACTAGAGTTAGCGTATAGAATTCGACCGTCTTCGACGTAATAGTTCAGGTAGAGTTCGAAGTCACGATAGAGTAAAGTATTTTCAAAAGTATAGTCAAATAAAGTTGTAACTCGCGTATCAACGATCTATATTGTTAAGACTCTGATTTCGCCGATGATGGTTTGGCTAGTCAGTGAATGACACAGTATTTATATCCCTCGCTTATGTCTCGAGGACCCAGTCTACTAATAATACAGAATACACTCGGGGCATGCCCGAGACCCTGAAAAACAACCAAGAACATTTAACTCCTAAGTCCGTAACCCAAACTCCTAAATCCGCTGAAACCCCTCAACCTATTTATCCACTCTAATGCACGTTTCCCTGTCGATGTTTCTTCTCCATCGGCCGTCTGGTGGATAATCGTCAGCGTCGGCTATTCGGAGGTCTCGGACGGCAAGGCTACCTACTCAGGCCTCTTCCCACATCGCTTTCCCACATAGCAGAGTCCTCTCATGCCCACAGGTACCGCCGATAGGTACTCGGTCGGCTGGCAGCTTGCGCCGATTCGCTCCGAGCGGTCCGATCTTCGATCCGATTGATTCCAGCTGTCCCTCATATATCCACCGGTACCAAAACACTCCCCTCCGGCGGTTTGACGCTCCGGGGGTTATTATTGGGGTCGAAAACGTGTTTTTTATGACTCTGGGTTTTTTGGTCGCAATTTGGTCGCACCACACTCCGCGAGTGTGGTCAAGAGTTGATATTAGTGTACAGAGGGTATTGGGGTATCTACTAGCCTTTCTCTCACTCCCGTAAATGCTTGGCATGCCCGTAACAGTTAGCGTATAGAATTCGACCGTCTTCGACGTAATAGTTCAGGTAGAGTTCGAAGTCACGATAGAGTAAAGTATTTTCAATGTATAGTCAAATAAAGTTGTAACTCGCGTATCAACGATTTATATTGTTAAGACTCTGATTTCGCCGATGATAGTTTGGCTAGTCAGTGAATGACACAGTATTTATATCCCTCGCTTATGTCTCGAGGACCCAGTCTACTAATAATACAGAATACACTCGGGGCATGCCCGAGACCCTGAAAAACAACCAAGAACATTTAACTCCTAAGTCCGTAACCCAAACTCCTAAATCCGCTGAAACCCCTCAACCTATTTATCCACTCTAATGCACGTTTCCCTATCGATGTTTCTTCTCCATCGGCCGTCTGGTGGATAATCGTCAGCGTCGGCTATTCGGAGGTCTCGGACGGCAAAGCTACCTACTCAGGCCTCTTCCCACATCGCTTTCCCACATAGCAGAGTCCTCTCATGCCCACAGGTACCGCCGATAGGTACTCGGTCGGCTGGCAGCTTGCGCCGATTCGCTCCGAGCGGTCCGATCTTCGATCCGATCGATTCCAGCTGTCCCTCATATATCCACCGGTACCAAAACACTCCCCTCCGGCGGTTTGACGCTCCGGGGGTTATTATTGGGGTCGAAAACGTGTTTTTTATGACTCTGGGTTTTTTGGTCGTAATTTGGTCGCACCACACTCCGCGAGTGTGGTCAAGAGTTGATATTAGCGTACAGAGGGTATTGGGGTATCTACTAGCCTTTCTCTCACTCCCGTAAATACTTGGCATGCCCGTAACACAAACTACCACCGCATCGATCTTACGACCATGCGATAGATCTCAAATCAGGAAAGCAGCCACCATGGGGACCCGTTTACTCCCTATCCGAAGTCGAGCTGAAGGTGCTTCGGGAGTACCTGGATAATATGTTGCGATTGGGAAAGATTAGGTTGAGCAAATCTCCGGCAGGAGCCCCAATCCTATTTGTGAATAAGAAGGACGGTAGTCTACGACTTTGCGTGGATTACCGTGTACTTAACCGTGTGTCCATCAAGAACAGGTATCCTCTACCGCTTATGAACGAGCTGCGAGATCGAGTGGCAGGCGCGGTTATCTTCTCGAAGATTGACCTGAAGGAAGGTTACAACCTCATCAGGATCAAAGACGGCGACGAGTGGAAGACAGCCTTCCGTACGCGGTATGGACATTTTGAGTACCTCGTCATGCCTTTTGGGCTGGCAAATGCGCCGGCGACCTTCCAGAACATGATGAATGATGCGCTGAGGGAATTCTTGGATCAAGGTGTAGTAGTATACCTCGATGATATCCTAATATATAGCAAGTCTTGAGAGGAACACAGGGAGCTGGTCGGCAAAGTACTTAGCAGGTTACAAGAATACAACCTGGTCGCCAACCCGAAGAAATCGTTCTTCGAGCTCACCGAAATCGAGTTCCTCGGATACATCCTTGCCCCAGCAGGCGTCACCATGGCACTGGATAAGGTTATGTCTGTTACGAATTGGCAAGCCCCGCGCAGCGGTAAGGAAGTACAAATCTTCATGGGCTTTGCCAACTTCTACAGAAGGTTTATCCTTATCACGGGGACCGTAGGCGATAGACTGTGGTGCCAAGGAATACAACCTAGGTAGTGACGTAGACGTGGACGTAGACGTAAAGGTATGCTTTGACTATGGACTATGGGTGGCTCTACCCGGTATGATAAACCGATTGGAGCCCTATGACGTGGTGCAAACAAAGAATAGTATTCGTGGAATAAATACAGAAGAAGAAGAAACTTATATTGCTTAGAAGCCGAAGCTTATCGCACACCTAACTACCCGACTACAACCTCCACCGACTAACCCGAAAACAAAAACGAAGTACAAAAACTAACTACCGCAGCTACGAGAACTACGTACATAAAAAGAGAAAAAGAGCGCACGAAGAGGGCGCGAATAACAAGTGGTACAGGTGAATAGAATCTAAGCGACAACAAAGAAACCTTCCCGTAGTAAAATAAGTAAGAACCCCAAACTTCTCCGTCAACTGCATTAGCGAGCACAATCCTAAACGTAGTGTTCAATCGAAACGATATCATTACCAACGTTCCCGGTGTCATATCTGTGGACGAACCTTAACAGGACTGGGAAACCACGCGCACGAAGGCAGGAGAAGCCAACCGCAACAGCGTCAGGGTGGAAGCGAGGGGGGTGGTGTAAGAGTGGGTCCTCGGGCGTCTGGTTGTCAGGCAGCGAGGAGTTGAGGAGTGGTGACCGGTAGGTCAAGTAAGAATGGGTGGGGTCGTCGGTCCCTGGAGCAACGGCTAAAGACTGTGCCCGAGTCGTATTTGAAGTGGTGTCCTCTGGAGAGGACATGCAAAAAGGGTTGAGCCGAAGGCTCAGTATGTATGGGGGTCGCAATCGAAGGTGCCGACCGTGTTGTGTTGAGGGTGGTCTCGGAGACTGGTTGGGTTTGGGTGAGGGGAGCAGGCCGGCTCGGGTAAAAGTGGGTGGCCTGGTTAAGGCCGATAAAGAGGGGTAAGGTCAGGGGACCTCGGGTAAAAATTTGACGATAGTTTCGCGACCGAGAGGTCGCTAACTTCGCGGGCTGTCGAGCGCTTTGGCAGTAGGTTCTCGCTGACTGGAGATTACTGACAGTGTGCGTACCCGACGTGTGGGATCACTCGTGCGATGAGTGAAAATAAGGAGGGGCGAAGGCGGCTTTCGAGAGTAACCGCTGGTTTGTCGAGGGGTGAACGGTGGACGCGTCCCGTGAGGGCACTGAACGAGCAAAGAATGGGGGGTGTCGAGCGAGGGAAGTTCAGGGACCGAAGCAATTCGAGAATCAGTATAACTCCATCTCGGGGGGAAGAAATCCTACCGCGAGCCAGAGGCGAGCGGGTAGAATACAGAATAAGAAGAAGAAACTTATATTGCTTTGAAGTACAAGACTTATCGCACACCGACCCGACCGCCTAAAACACGAACCAAACAAAAGAACGAAAGGAAAGAAAACAACAAACGCTAACAAACAAACAAGAACAAAAACAAACACGAACGATCACGAGCGAACATCAACAAGAAATAAGGAAATTCCGGAACGACACTCAACCAGAAACAACCCAACGACAAGGAGAAATAACATATCTCAGCGAACTCGGGCGCTGGATCCATCAAAACAAAGTAAAACCAAAGTTAAAAAGGTAAAAGGAAACCACCCTTTCCTAATCCCGTCCCTAATCATTTTCTTCCATCCCCTCTTCTAGGTCCACCTCCGCTTCCGCCGACTCGTACCACTTCGAGAGTTGAGAATTTTTTGCAAATTGTAAGATAAGGTCCGTTTTCAAGTTTATAAACATCCAGTTTTCCCAGGTCATCGCTCCGGGGATCTTTTCTATCAGGGGGGCGCGGATTCGAGCCCACACTGGGCATTCCATAAGTGTGTGTTTCGCTGAGTTTTCCATACCACACTGGCATGGTTCGGGGTCTGTATATACCGCGTGTTTATCGATTCGGGTAGTTTGGCACCGGATTCGAAAAACTTTTTTCGCCTCCGTTAGGGTAAGTTTCGCAATCTTGGGAGGGGGGCGGAAATCCCCCCGGTGATGGTAGTCCGGTATTGGTTGTGTATTCCATTCTTCCAACAGGTGGTCGCGTAGCAGTTTGTTTTGATTCCACTTGTCTCTCGCATTTCCGGGGGTTTGATATGGGAGTAGGAGGGAAGCGATTCGGTGTAGACCTGTCCCTTTGATGTTTGCTTCTCTGTATGGGAGGAGCTCAATTAGGGATTCATTGTTGGGGTGGGTTGCCTCGGTGCAGAGTATTCTGGTTCCGTACTTTCTTGAGCGATATGTTAGGAGGTGTTCTAGGGGGGGTAGTCCTGCTTCTCGGAGGAGTTTAGCTCTCTTGGTCCATCGAGGTAGGCCCGTAATGATCCGGGCAGCTTCGTTGTATAGTGGTTCTAGCGATCTAATGATGTGGTCTGCGCCAGTCCACCAAGCCTCAGATCCGTAGAGCAGGCTTGGAAGGAAGCCCTGTGTTATTAGGTGATGAACTGTCTTGACTGTTATCCCTGGCAGGCGGGCGGTGTTTCGGATTTGGTGGAGGGCTTTTAGGCCTTTTGCGATTGCTGCTTCGATATGGGGCCGGAAGGAGAGGGTTGGATCTATCCAGACTCCTACGTATTTCAGCCTCTCCTTGGGGTATATATTGATATTGTTAACTTTGACTGGAAGTCGTGGTTGTTGTTTGGATGATGTGGTGGGCCGGAAGAAGATCAGATCGGATTTATCCGGGTCGTATTTGATTTGGAGTGGCTCAGCTTTAATTAGTCTTTCTCTCATTCGTTCCTCCATTCTCTTGATTGTAAAGCCTGGTGTTTTGGATATTTGCACCAGCGCATCGTCATCGATGTAAGTTGTGTCCATCTCTTTTGGGCTGCTAGTTGGGTCCAGAATTACTCAGGCATAGATCATGAATAGTACCGGAGATATGGGGCTACCTTGCGGCACTCCAGAATCATAGGGCTGTGGGTCCTCTAGCTCATGGTTGAATTGGAACTGTAGTTTTCTGCCGGTGTTGAATTCCTTGCACCATTCTGTCAGATAGGTGGGGAATTTTTGTTGGTGCATGATTTCCGCGAGGAGTAGGTGATCGACACAATTGAATGCTCCTTGGATGTCATTGGTTAGGATCGCTGGTCTATCTCGCCGAGCGATTCCGGTGCTGTTTTTTAGTAGTAGGTTTTGTTGTATTGGTGTCAAGGTTCTCAGGAGGGCATCGATTGCCGAGATGGTTGGTCTTCCTCCGAATTGGTTTGCTGAGAGTGTGCCTAGGATTTCTCCAGCGGTGCAGAGTCTCTGGGCCACTATCTTCTCCAGGATTTTGCTGAAACATTGTAGAAGGGAAATGGGCCGGTAGGCTTTTGCTTCATGATAATTTGCTTTACCGGGTTTCGGGATCGGGATACACTTAGCTATTTTCCATTCCGCTGGATGTACACCGTGCCGGAGCATAGCGGAGAACATGTCTTGGATTAGAGTTGTATTTGCTTTGACTATAGCTTTAATAAAGGTAGAAGGGATGCCATCCGGGCCGGTCGCCGAGTGCGCTGGACAGGAGTCGATTGCTTTGTTAAGTTCTTCGGGGGTGACTATGTCGAAGGTGTTGCTAAGGTCAAAAGAGGGGGGTCTAATGTTCAAGGGGGGATGGTCGGGGGACGTCCGTTTCGAGGGGAAAAGTTGGGCTCTTAGAGCTTGACACTTCCCCGCAAACGTTTCTTCACCTTGTATGGTTGGTATGATTGTGTCTCGTCTCCTTCCTGCGCTTAGGATTCTCCAGACTTCACTACCTTTCGCCTCGTTCATCGTCTTTTCCCGCTGGTCCGCTTTTGCTTTCCGGATCATGACTGTCCATTCTCTGCAAGCCTTCCGGTGTTCCTACACGTGATTGGGTTTCCCTGTATTTCTCGCCTTTCTTTCTGCTGCATTTACCCTTGCCTTCATTTGTTTCATTTCATCTGACCACCAGGAGTTGGCTCTTACCCCCTCCTTCGAAAGTGGTGTTACTATGCTGACTGTTGACCTGAACAGTTCTAGGAAGAAATCGACAGTTTGTTCCGTATGTTCCTTGGTTTCCCATGCCTCTGCAGGGATGGAAATGTTTGACATGTGGTTCTCCAATAGCTTCCAGTCTGTTTGTCACCACATTCGTCTTGGTACGAAAGGTGGTTTTTCCAGGTGTAAGTGGACGGAGGTTCTCCCGTGGTCTGAGCCCGCTCCATAGGGTTCAGTGCTCCATCGTAGGTTGTGGTCAAGTGTTGGGCCTTTTACAAATGCAAGGTCGATGGTTGTGGGCCTTTTCCCTTTGTCTCTGGGGAAGTGCGTAAAGACGCCTGGTTCGTTCAGGAGGGTCAGTTTCTGTCGGGTTATCCATCGTTTTAACCGTGCGCCGTTGACGCGGTCTGCTCGAATGTTGTTTCTGTATTCATGTGAATTTACTCCGTACCACATTTGGTGGTGGCAGTTGAAGTCTCCCATTACTAGACAGTTATCAAGGGTTTGGATTGTACTTGTTATTTGAGCGAAGGGGCCACTTCGGCCTGGGGAGTATATGTTCAGGATTTGGGTTTTCTTGTTCTGGATTTCTACCGTAATCGATACTATGAAGTTATCGTGTGTGTAGTGGTGTTTTGGTTTGAGGTTGGCATGTTTGCGGACGTATGTTGCACATTTTGTATTGGTGTTGCTGGCCGTAAAAATATAAAAGAGATTTGATTCTGGTGGGTATCCCCCTGCTGAGGTCCATGGTTCTTGTAATAATAAGAAATAAATACTAGAGTCTGTTTCCGCTTCTTCTACCGCCGCCTTGGTAATAAGATCGCTCCGTGCACAATTGAGTTGGTGTGAGAGCGCGGTGGTTCGAGGCCTAAGCATTATTTGTCATGTGTTGGTCGTCTTCAGGAACGGGTGTGGCTCCGACTGGGGCGGTGGCTGGTACTTGAACTACCGGAAGCAACTCTTGGATGGGTGCGGCCGGTGGGTCTTGAGCGGGTGGAGCGTTTTCCTTTCCTTTATTGAGGAAACGGCGTTTGACTCTTTCGGGGCATG